AAAGCCCTGCGCTGCTTGGACCAGGGCAGTTGGCCTCACTCCTGCCCTGAGCCTTTGTCTCAGCTGTGTGGTTTGACAAAGCAGACAGTGTGGATCCTAGTAAATGGTCCTTAAGCACATCTCCCCTCCCCCCCAACATCGCTCTTCAGGCCTCACAACACAGAGTTTTAGTTTCCTCTGAAGTCCTTCAGCCTTCCTTGCTGTTTAGGCCCCATTTTCTCCGGTCCATTTGGGATCAGGTCCAATTGATGAATTTTGGAGTCAAGATAGGAATCTTTATCCCCTTCTGCTCTTTCGCATGGAGGAAATGAGTAGCCACAAGCAGTAGCTCTCCCCCCACCATCCAAAGGTCGATAGGATAAGGCTAGAATATTTACCAGGGACAGTGTCATCAGCACTCTCCTATGGTACATGTAAAGTTGTGAATGAGTACGAAGGTCTTGGGATACAGGAGTTGTGCAGGGACCAGAGAGGGAGGTGCCTGAAGAAAACCTAGGATGAGAGAAGAGTGCCTACCATAACTCAGGTTGCAGATCTCTTGGCAGAGGAGAATCTTGAGGGTGTCATTTTGTCTTCACTTGCTCTGGACCTTGCAGTGAGTGGCAACAGCTGTCCCCAGACTCCTTCCCAATCTGGGGGTGGTCATTGGCAGAAAGCAAGCAGGGAAAGACAGCAGAGTTGGGTGCTGTGGGAGGGTGAACTTGGTTGAGACTGTGCTGTTATGGCAGAGCCACAGGCTGGCTCAGGGGTGAGTGCCCTGGCTCTGCCAAGCACTGAGTATCAGCTTTCCTCTTGCTCACAGAAAATTATTGGTGTCTTCAAACCCAAGAATGAGGAGCCGTATGGGCATCTGAACCCCAAGTGGACCAAGTGGCTGCAGAAGTTGTGCTGCCCGTGCTGCTTTGGGAGAGACTGCCTTGTTCTGAACCAGGGCTACCTATCAGAGGCAGGTGCCAGCCTGGTGGACCAGAAACTGGAACTCAACATTGTTCCCCGCACAAAGGTGAGGAGGCACAGTCACCTGAGGGTGAGGAGTGCTGAGGAGGCTTCCACATGCTCCTGCCCGTGCCATGGGGATCCTTGTACAGAGCAGAGCTGTGGGAGATCTATGCCCTACTGATAAAACAAAGAACTGTGACTGCTGACAGATGCACTTGCTGACTTCTGTACTCCTATACCCCAGGTGGTTTATCTGGCCAGTGAGACCTTTAACTACAGTGCCATTGACAGAGTGAAGTCCCGAGGAAAGAGGCTAGCCCTGGAGAAGGTCCCGAAAGTGGGTCAGCGCTTCAACCGCATTGGCCTGCCTCCCAAGGTAGGGCTGTCAGGCCCCGCGCGCCTGTCGCTGCTCCTCTGTCCTCTGTGGTCCTCCATAACACAGTCTCTCCTTGCCTCAGGTGGGCTCCTTCCAGCTATTTGTGGAAGGTTACAAGGACGCTGACTACTGGCTGCGGCGCTTTGAGGCTGAGCCACTCCCTGAGAACACCAACCGGCAGCTTCTGCTGCAGTTTGAGCGGCTGGTGGTGCTGGACTACATCATCAGGAACACAGGTAGGGCTGGCTGCCTGCTCCTTTGTATTTCGCCAGGTAGAGAGCAGGCAGAGATTTGGCTTCTCTTCCTGGAACCCAAAACTCCGATCAACAATGCGTGGTTGACAGATGACACTGTCTCTGGGTGGAGTGTAGCTGCTGTCAGTACTGACCTGGGGACTGGGAACTAGCCTGGGATCCATCCAGTTGCAATGGTGAATGTTTGCCGGGTGCAAAGATCCAGGAATGCTGAGAGATCCAGCTTCTGGTTGTGCCACAGCATCCTATCTCAGGCTGGGTTTCCAAGTCTGTTCCAGCTTGAAATGTGTTTAGGTTGGACTCCAAAGCTTGCAGGCTGACTTCTCTCTTGAGAGCTGGGGCTACGTGGATCTCTTTAGTTTCCAGACCTAGATATGTGGGAATTTATATGACTTCCTAGGCCTGCAGCAAGCTTGAGGGCTCTGGGGTAGAGCTGAGGCCTTGAAGTGTGTGTAACTTGAATTGCTACTATGTCAGAGGAATAATCCTACCCAGCACAGGCCCTCATGCTGATACAGCTGTTTTTCTTTCCTTGCAGATCGGGGCAACGACAACTGGCTCATCAAATATGACTGTCCCCTGGACAGCGCAGGCGTACGGGTGAGCAGCTCGTGGGCAGGGGCTTCATGGGTTTGTCTGCTTCTACAAGCTGGCTGGCAGGCTGGGATTTCCCAGTTGTCTTGGGTTTTTGAGCCTGATCTTGTTTGCTGGGAGTGGCAAACAGACTGCTTCTGTTGAGGAAGGCTCCCTTGTGACTGGTGCTCCACTTCCTTCCAGGACAGTGACTGGGTGGTTGTGAAAGAGCCCATCATCAAGCTTGCTGCTATAGATAATGGTTTGGCCTTTCCTTTGAAGCATCCGGACTCCTGGAGAGCATGTGAGTCCCTTACGCTGTGTTGAGGTACTCTGCAGTGCTGAGCAGCTCTGTGCTGTCTGTCCTGGGGCGTGTTCCTGGAGGGCTAGAAGAGGCAGTAGCTAGGGCTGCCCCTCTGCAAAAACCTTCTAGCTGCGTGGACAGCTCTGCCTCAGTGGCTGTAGGAAGTGTATGCTGCACCCAAGGCCATGTGGCATCTTTCCCTTCCCTAGCTCTAATATTTCATGCTTCCTCCTGCAGATCCCTTCTACTGGGCGTGGCTACCACAGGCCAAAATCCCCTTTTCACAAGAGATCAAAGACCTAATTCTTCCCAAGATCTCAGACCCCAACTTTGTCAAAGATCTGGAGGAAGATCTGTATGAGCTCTTCAAGGTGAACTAGGGTGGGGCTGAGGGTGGCTTGGGAAGAAGAAAAACAGGGTGGTCTTGGGGCTTCTTTGTCAAAGCTATGTGGATAGAAAGATGGGCTACTCGTGGTGTTTCTGAGCTGAAACATAGAAGGGCTATTCCTCTACCAGGAGCTAAAGATACAGTTTGGGGAGAAGCGGGAATCTCGTGGGACAAGAGGAGAGAGGCTTGCTTGGAAAACAAGCATCTCTTGAATAGCGTGGGTCAGAGAGTAGATACCAATGCATTGTTTGCTCTCTCTTGCAGAAGGACCCTGGCTTTGACAGGGGACAGTTTCACAAGCAGATTGCTGTCATGAGAGGCCAGGTAAGGCAAATGAATGAGGTGACAGAGCCTTGTTTTGTCTGGCTGTCGGGGAACAGTGCTGGGATGCCAGCTCTCTTCCTCCACTGGGATAGCTGAAGCTTTGCTCTGTGTTGTACAGATACTGAACCTGACGCAGGCACTGAAAGATGGGAAGAGCCCCCTGCACCTGGTTCAGATGCCACCTGTGATTGTAGAAACGGCTCGTTCCCACCAGCGCACTGCCAGCGAGTCCTACACGCAGAGCTTCCAGAGCCGGAAGCCTTTCTTCACCTGGTGGTAGCTGTGGGAGCTGCAGGCAGGCCTTGGCTGTCTTGGACTGGCACTGCGAGAGGAGCTGAGCTGCTCCAGCGGCTGGGATTTGATGCTCTGGGTAAAGTGAGCAGGTTGTGGCTGGAGGAGCCTGCAGCTGGAGTGGAGGAAGCCAGGTGGGTTGGGCATTGTCCCTCTCCAGCTCCCTTGGAGCTCTGTGGTGTGCGTACAGCCCTGCCGAGGAAAGAGCTCAGCAGGAGGCATGGGAAGCAGTTGGGACCCTGCCTGTGCCTCCCTTCCTCGGCCTGCATGCGGTTCTGAGCACACCTGACCAGGCTCCCCAGGCCAGGATCCGTCCAGCTCTTTGCACCAGCTGCCAGCCTTCCTCTTCCCCGCTGCTGGCCCCAGGGCTGGGAAGGGCTGGAGGGTGGTGGTTCTGCCTTCCGCTTCCCCAAAGGCATGCTGTACTCCTCCTCACTTTCTCTCTTCTGCCCCAACCCTGTGCAAGCTGCTTTCCTCAGGGGGAGTTCCTGCTGCCTGCTGGTGCAGTGGGGACCATAATGAACGGCTGTTCTCTGGCTGGGGGCTTGAGGAGGGAATGTAAGGAGAACTCTACTCTTGCCTGCTCCCTAGGGCAGGCTTGAATGCAGTTTGACACTAAAGGAAGAGGTGCTGCCTTTTCCTGGTTTGGAGGAGGTGGCTCTCGGAGGTGCTGTAGAGAGGGTTGGAGGTACAAGTGGCCTCTGGCCCTCCATTCCTATGGTCCATCCATCCTGCAGGTCACTGCAGCTGCTCTTGCTTGGCTTTTGCCCCTGTGCTCAGTAAGGTTTCTGGCTGCTGTGCAGCCAGCATTGGGCCAGCCAGCACAGCTCCAGCTTTGCGTGTGTGTCTGGGGTCCTTATGGGAAAGGGGGCTGCTGGGGACAGGGAATGGTGGGAGGAGCTCTTCCTGCTGGTGGGAGTCATGTGAGAACTGGTGTACTGGAAGCACATGAGGGCTGGTGCAAGCTCCTGGCTGCCCCAGTGCTGCTAACCTTGTGGGCGTGATGTGAGTGGGTGAGGCAGTTAGTGCTCCCTCTCCCCCAAAGCTGCTGAGCTGTCTTGTATAAAACGGTACCAGGGCTGCTGCCTGCATCTGCTTGCCTTGAGCTGTGACTTTCCCTGTGGGGGGAAAGCTGGGGTTGGGTCTCATTGTCTTGTTTGCCCGGCCCTGGGGGTTGGGAGGGAAGTGAAAGCTGGGACTGTGCTGCTTGGGGCTGTGAGGGGAGGACAGCTCACTCATCTCCTACTTGCACAAGGGGCTCTGCAGTGGCTGTCCTGAGGGTGCTGAAAGCACAGGGGTGTAGAAGTGAGACCTCAGCTCCCAGACCTGGCTACATCTCTGACTGACCCCAAATGTACTGTTCTAATGCACTGTAGAAATGTATGTAATGTATTTAAACCATGCAACTGTCTGAAAAACAGAGCTGCAGTTCACCTGGCCTCCTTAATGTCTCAACAGAATTCTAGAGGAGGGTTGGGGCTGTTCAGCTGGTGCTGAGTCCATTGCAGCAACTGGGACTGCTGTCACAGCCACGGAGCCTCACCCAGCCACTGCGGGTCCACCTTTTATTAACCAGTACACTCATGTCCTGTACACTTAGTGTCCTCGGTGTGCCCGGTCTGTGCGGCGGGCCTGCTGCGCACTCAGTGATGCTGCAGGGGCGCCGAGGCCGCCCCGTCCCTGCAATCTCCCTCGGGCTCCTTATCGGTGATCCTGCAGAAACAGGCGGCCGTGAGTAGGGCGCGTCCCGGCAGCGGTCCCCTTGCCGACCCGGTCCGCACCTACCGGAGGCGGCCGAAGCGCCGTAAAGCCGTCGTCTCACCGCCGCGCCGTGCCGCTTTCCGCCGCCTGAGCTGTCGCAGCGCCCGTGCCATGCGGCGCTGCCCTGCGTAGCGCCAGACGAGGCGAGCGCGCTCCTCGGGCCTCTCGGCCCCGCCGCTCTGGAACAGGCTGCGCAGCTCCGGCAGCCCCACGCCCTGGAAAATGTTGGCCGAGGCCCGCTTGCGGCCGCGGGTGGCGGGCGCCGCTCGTCCCGGGGGATCGCTCGCTACCGAGGCCGGCGTTCCCATGGCCCGGCCGCTGCGGAGGGACGGCGTGGGGCCGCGTCGGGTCCGGTTCAGCCCGCCCGGGACAGGGCCGCAGCGGCGCAGGCGGGCCGCCAGCGGCGCGCCCAGGAATGCGGGAGGGCCCGGCTCAGGTCGGCGCCCGCCAGTGTCCGGTGCGCCGTCCCCGCCGCGACCCGCTTTCCGCCGCCGCCTCCCGTCCGCCAGCCCCGCGCACTGACCTGGGGGCGGCCACCGCGTATTTGCCGCGCTCCCGCCGCCGCGCCCGGGGCCGCTCCGCGCCGCCGACCCGAGGTCCCGCAGCCGCCCCGCGCTCCGCGCCCCGTCCATTCACTCTTCGGATCCGCCCCGCCCTGCGCGGCGCCGCCAATCCGCGCCCACTTTTCTCCGTACGGACCAATCGCCGTCGGGAGGGGGCGTGGCCGCACCGCCTTTCGAAATGGTGGGCCACGTGGCGCCAGTGACGTCAATAAGGCGGGGAGGGACGGCTGGGCGCGGCTCCGCCCCCGGGCGTGGCCAGCGCGCGTCACCCCGAAGGGAAACCCCGCGTGACGTCACGAGGGAACCCCGGCGCGCGCTCCCCGACGGCGCGCTCCTTCGTTCTCCGCCGTGACGTCCCGCCGAGCTCCCTGGCCCCGCGACGCGGCAGTCGGCGGCGGCGGCTGGGAGAGGAGGCGGCGGCGGGGGGCGGCCGCGGGGCCCCGCGCGCGCAGTGGGCCGGCGGGAGGCGGGGCGGGGGAGGAGAGAGGCCCCGCACGGGGAGGACCGCTCGACGCCAGATGTTGGGCAGCGGCCAGCCGCCCTCAGTAAGTGCTGCCGGGGCACCGAGTCCCTCCCGCCCCGCAGCACGCAGCGCCCCGCCATGGCCCGCACGGCTCCCCCGGCCGTGCCGCCTCCGCCCCCGGGACCACCGCCCCGCGGTTCGCTCGGGCTGCACCGCGCCTTCCTGCGGAGCCCGCTGGGGCTGCTCCGCCTGGGGCAGCTGGCGGTGGGCGCCGCCTTCTGGCTCACCGTGGCGGCCCACTGGTACGAAGGAGCGGCCCACTTCGCCCTCTTCGCCGCCGTCCTCGTCTGGCTGCTCACGCTGGGCCTCTTCGGGCTGAGCGCGCTGGGGCGCTGGGAGCTCGTGCCCTGGCTGGGCTCCCGCTGGCTGCTGGCCAACCTGGTGCACGACCTAGTGCTGGGTGTCGGGCTGTGCACGGCCGCCGCTGGCATCATGGGCCACAAAGCTGGGCAAAAGAGCTACTGCAATCTGCCGGGCTACAGCCAACGCTGTCTCTACGGAGCCTATCTGGGAGCTGCTGTCTGCGGAGCCGTGGCTGCCTGCCTGTACCTCTTCTCCGGGCTCTACTGCCTGGCACGGCGCTGCCGGGACCAACGTGACATCGTCTGAGCTCCTTGGCTGCCCTGCTTCCTGCACATGGACGGACCGCGGCCCTGCTTTAGGACGTGGTGACCCCGCTGCTCTGTCCCCTCCCGGCTGCTGCACTGCGCTTCCTCCACTGCCCCCTGCACGGATGGATGGACAGATGGATGGAGACCTTCTGCCAGGACAGTGGGCACCGATTGCTGCACCAGCTCCTTTGCACCCTGCACAGAATGACAGACGGACATAAGCAAATCGAAGGACCCAAGCAGGGAGCGCCCAAGTGGACCACAACTTCTGGGAGCCCCGAGGGGCCCTGCCTGACTCCTGCCTTGGGTGTGCTCAGGTGGGTGCCATCTCTGTCCCTGGGGAGATGAATGCTGTGCTGGAGGAGTGGAGTAAAGCTGGGCCCAGCCCTTACCCTGCTGGCAGCCTTGCGGCCTCCGCATTGCCTAATGGAGGCTCTGCTGTACTCTCAGCTTCCCCAGCTGGGGCCCCTCCTCCATGTCCGGTGTCTTCCCGGAACCCTGTGGGCACAGCCCTTACCCACCCTGGGCAAAGCCTTGCCAGCTGTTGCCCCAGTGCCAAATGCCCCAACCCACTTTGGAGTTGAACCCAGCAAAGCCCCCACTACCGTTGGAGCTTGTGGCAGGGAGGGGGCTGCAAGCTGCCTCTGTGGTCAAGGCGGGGCAACAAATTCCTCCAGCCTTGGGGTTTGTGCTGCCCTGGGGTGAGAAAGGTGTTTTTGTCATCCCAGCCTGGAACTCGGTGCTGCTGCCGCATCGTCTGGCTGGTTCTGCACTAGGAGCGGGGCTCCCATCCCACCACAGAGACCCCTAAGCCTACCCGAGGCCTGTCCACTCCAGCTAGAACAGGCACAGCTCACCCTGCCTGGCTCCACAGCACTTGGATTGTCATCCTAGAAAACTCTCTTTGTTGTGCGACTACATATCTCCATCTCCATCACTGTGCTGCCCGCAGACTGATAATGGAAGGGTGATTGCAGCAGTGCCCTTGTAGGACATAGACTGTCTGCAAGAGGGGGGCTCTGGTAGTGAGGCATGGACCAACCCCACAGGTGGCTGAGGCTGTGAGGGGTCAGTGGAAGCATTGGGCAGCCAGAGACTGGGAAATGTTGGAGGAGCACCATGCCGAGCTGCCTTGGCCACCAGCTATCCTCATCCTGCTTGAGGACACATTCTCCCATTGCTTTCAGAACAGAAAAGGACTGCCCCAGCCCCTGTGTAGGCTCAGTTTGGAGGACTGTGGCCCCCACATCTGTCACCTGGTGCCTTTCTGTGGGGGTAGCAGCAGCAATGGCATGAAGGGACTGGTTTGGCACTAGATCACGGCTTCCATCACCAAGGGTTGTCTCAGCAGATACCTGTGTGCTCCTGCACTCTGCCAGCCCCTGGGCCACCCCCTGGCACGATGTGCTATCCCTACTCTGTGTCAAGGCTGGTCCCAGACACTGCTGGCCCCTGCCTGCTCTGGTGCAGCCCTGAGGCCCAGGCTGCCTGCACGCAGTGAGACTAGTGCTGCCAAAAGTGCCTTGCCCCACAACCCCACACTGCCTGTTGTACCTGCCGCCGTCCCACTGCAGCCCCTTCTCTGGTGCCTTTGGATTCACATTCCAAATAAAGCAACACTGACGCTCGCTTGGTGTCTGGGGTTTTGTAGCAGGATTGGGACCCGCAGGGAACAGGAGATGAACCAAGCTTACCCTCGGCTCTGCAGCCTTGGGGTTACCCCTCCTGAAGCAGTGGTTGCAGAGGCTCAGTGTATTCTGCAGCTATGGGTGGACTCCTGGCGCTGAGCCACTGGTCTCTGGAAGAGGGGCTCAAGCCCCTGCCCCTGGGGATGGACTGCCCCAGCCCTGCCACTCGCTCCAGGGATGGGGCAGAACTTGGTGCTTGTGCATCATAGAATCACAGAATGATTGGATTGGAAGGGACCTTAAAGCCCACCCAATTCCACTCCTCTGCCACCAGCTGGATGGCTGGCCATGAAAGACCCCAGGGATGTGGCACCCACAGCTTCTCGGGCAACTTGTGCCTGTCTCTCTTAACGTCTAACCTAAACTTCCCCTTTTAGTTTAAAATCATTCCTCCTTGTCCTGTCGCTATCAGAATGTAAAAAATGTCTGTCTCCCTCTTGATTATAAATTTCTTTTAAGTACCAGAATGCTGCAATGCAGTCTCCTAGAAGCCTTTCCTTCTCCAGGCTGAACAAGCCCAGCTCCTTCCACCTGTTCCCATAGGAGAGGTGCTCCAGCCTTCTGATAATCTTCATGGCCCTCCTTTGGACCAACTTCAACAGCTCCACATCTTTCTTGTGTTGAGGTTCCCAGGCCTGGAAACATTACCCCAGATGGGGCCTCATGAGGGCAGATCAGAGAGGGACAATCTCTTCCCTCCCCCTGCTGTCACCCCTCTGTTGTTGCTGCCCAGGATACTGTTGGCCTTCCAGGCTGCAAGTGCACACTGCTGACTCATGTCCAGCTTTTCATTTGTCCAGACCCCCCAGTCGTTTTCAGCAGGACTGCTCTCAAGGAGTTCTTCTTCCAGTCTGTATACATATCTGGGATTGCTGTGACCCAATCACAACCCTTCACACCCAGCCTTTTTGAACCTCATTAGGTTCCTGGGGGAACAAGCCTGTCCAGACTTTTCTGGATAGTATCCCTTCTTCTTCTGTTGTATCAGCTGCACCATGCATCTTAGTGTCATCAGCAAACTTGCTGAGGTTACATTAAATCCCACTGTCTGTGTCACTGATAAAGATGCTAAAGCATACCAGTCCCAAGATGGAACCCTGGGGAGCCCCACGTCACCAGTCTCTCCCTGGACATAGAGGCACTAGCAACAATTCCCCAGCTGCAATCATACAACCGATCCCCAGTCCACAGAACAGTCCAGTCTTCAAATCCATACCTCTACAGTTTAGAGGTAAGGATATGGATGTGGGCTCCTCCTGCAGGCAGGAGAACACAATGAGAACCACACAGAGCTGCATTCCTACAGGCTTTGTTTCTCCTGGGCTGAAAAGGTCCCTTCCTAGGCTGGACACTGCCAGGACTTGGGAGGGGACCTGACACCTCCCAGGGCTGGGTGCTTTGAGGCCCAGCATCAGACACGGCTCTCTGCCTGGTGACACAAGTGAAATGGAAGCAGGAACACGTGCTGCTCCGCAGCATGGCTCCACGCAGCCAAGGCTGGGAGTGAGAGATGAACCCGGCCTCTTCCAGCGCCCTCCGAGCTGAGCTCGGCCTCGGCGCGGGGCCAGAGTCGAATCAGACGCAGCTCAGCGCACAGCCCCGCACTGCGCTCCACCAGCCAGGCCCAGCACAGACCTTTACGACCACTACCGGGCCGCCGCCACTTCCGCCCTTTTGCCAGCACTTGGGTGGGGCTTCCGTCCTCCCCTCCCACCCCGGCTCTTCCTATTGGCTGCGTGCCGCGCCGCCGGGTGACGTCACGGCGCACCTGGCCGCTTCCTGGAAGTGGGGTGCGGTGCGGGTCCTCGGAGGCCCGGTATGCAGGCGGCAGAACGGGACGGGGCGGCCGGCGGCCCTGAGGTGGCAGCGGCGGCAACTGTAGGGGCTGCAACGGCAACGGGGGCCGGTGAGGCTTCGTCGGAG